TGTAGTACTTATAAACTCATAACTATTAAGCTATTTTTATAGCCGACTGTGAGTACGTTTATCTGCACATGACTATACGTATTGAATCATTAGTGAATGGTTAGTATTATTATTTATACTACATTCACTATACGTGTTGAATCGTTAGTGAATGGTTAGTATTATTATTTATACTACATTCACTATACGTATTGAATCGTTAGTGAATGGTTAGTATTATTATTTATACTACATTCACTATACGTATTGAATCATTAGTGAATGGTTAGTATTATTATTTATACTACAAATATATATATATAAATATATATATATGTAACCACCAGACAATGCCAATATATTCGGTGTGACGCAGATTGCGAGTCGAGTGTCCTAACCACCAGACAATGCCAATATATTCGGTGGAACACTCGACTCGCAATCTGCGTCGCACCGAATATGCTCGTTTTTTTCAGCCAAACTATTCGTTTGTAAAAGAGCAGCCCCACAATTGGCGGTGGGTGATGTTGACTATCTGCCTTCCCTCTAGTTTATTACTGCTAAATTAGAAACGGCTAGCGCAGATAGCCCTCGTGTAGCTTTGCGCGAATTTCAAACCATTCTATCACAGTAAACTGGAGTTTTTTCACTAACAAAAAACTGTAAACACATACTTATGATTAAACAGACAGTGCAAAAAAGTCAACGATTCGGCATATTCACAATTCAAAAATTATATGTAACACAGCTTTTATTTGAATTTTCATCAATTCAATTTTTATTATTCCTTCCATTCATATTAGATTATAAAATGAGTTGTTGTCACATCGTATAACTCCTGTTTTAATTACCTTTACGATCGTATCTTAGTAAGATCACTAACCTAAAAGATAAAATTTTCAATGGAAAATTAAAAAAAAATAATAATTACGAAATCATCCTTAGAGATAAGTTAGTTATCTTATTTTGGCAGTAACACAGCGTGGCAGGAGTTTGAGAGCGCCCTTATTTAATATATTAAGTAACAAAGTCAATGGAAGAAAAACTATAAAGTTTGAGTTAAGCGCTTGATAAAAAATCTAATTTTAACATGTGCTTTTCATAAAACACAGAGAGAAATTGGACACTAACAGACGCTACCTCAAGTTATGTGTGTGTGTGAATATATATATATATAT